AAAAAATAAGATCAATTTCAAGTAAACAAATTAAATTGGGATTGGTGAAACAAAATTCTCAGGTGCTGTAACATGTTATCCAAAGAAGTTCTTGTGACGCAGAGGCATGTTTAGTAGCACAAAGCCATACTTGTAAATTTTAAGAAGTTAGTTGTATGTATGTATGATGTAAACTTAACTGATCTGTAAACGAAATTTGACACCAAACTAAACAACATGCATTCCTCTTCTTATTCTGCTCCTCATCTAGAACTGCATTAACAACATGTTTGCCTGGAAATAAAATCATAATAAAGAACGTTATCTAACTTATATTTTCGCCTAGGTTGTTGTTACTTCATTGCATGAGGACAAATAAATTCAGCGAGGAGAAATACAAACCTGGACAGAGTGTGAAAGTTGAAATTTGCAGGATTCGTTGACACTTGTGATAGTTGCTGACTTAATTAAAGGCTGCTCAGCTCAGAGAAGTTCATTGGCTAATGTCACAACTGCATCAGCACTCTCTATATGATGCTATTCCTTGCCACTCTACAATACTTCTTTATTGTTCCCTCAAGAAATATGCATGTCTATCTTTTGGAAACAAACTTCGGACTGTGATTCCACACAGTTTTGAAAGAAGGCTACAACTATAAAAAGTTATAAGTAATTGAAAAATAAAAAACACAACAGGAACATTACTGTTGAATGTAAACAATTCCCAGAGGGATAAAAACGATTTCATACAACAGGAATACTGACACAACTGAAGAAGAGAAGGAGAGTGCTGGGTGATTTGTCTGAGAAGGTTAAGAATCGGGCCAAGGAAATTTTCGTAAGAATTTGAAAATGGACAATCCATTCTTCTGATAAGATACATAATGTCAACTCTCTAGAGCTCATGGGTGGTCTTTCGGCAGTGTGACAAGTCAAATAATTTCAGAAAATCGAAGGAAATCAGGTTCATGCAAAGCCGATAGCAGAACACTTTTCAAAACATATGGTCTCCATTGGATGCGCAGTGTTGTCTTTCCCCTCCTGCTAGCACTGAAATTTGTGTTTTTCTATTAAATGTCATACTCCTTATTAAAACCTTAGGATTTATTTTACCAACAAGTGTTACATTTTAAGTGGTTTAAAATTAAAATTCTTCCTTTCAAAAGACCATAAGTAGTCTAACAGATGTGTATTTCGGTTCAAAGTTTTGATGTGCAATGTTGGCGGCAATCGGGTACGCGAGCTTTAGCCGACCGGAACCAGTATACCCAGTTGCCTGGGCCTGACCAGAACAATGTCGGCCTCCGAAGCAGAAAGTCTTGTTGTTTGTTGACGAGCTCGAGAAGCTCGAGAAGGGGTCAATGACGGTAGCAACACAAAAAACTATACGTCACAGAATGAAACAAGAAATGAAGCAATGTTCGGTCTTTCATTCAGTGAAGCCTCTTTTTCGTAAATATAATACTCGGTTCTATTGTAAACTTTGAGTTTAAAGAACGCTCACCACGCATTTACCTCGGTATTAATTCGTGGCAACGTTGGCAAGCTATTACGCAAAACTGAGATACGGATATGAGTTCCCACTAAAATACCGAATTTCCGCAGAATCTCATCTTTTCTGGGATAAAATCGTGGCTCATACAAACTTAAATGAATTCTACCTTGTTTTTGTAAAGTACTTTCATGAGTAACTGACTATGGAAACTCCATGATTACAGCCAGTTACAGCCTTTGGACGAGAGGTTTCACCGTTTCATCACTGAACGTTATGCAACTGCACTGAAGGCGGGCAAAACCGCGGGTTGCTTCGGTTGATTCGAAGTATAAGCGACGAGTGTTCGCCCTTGTCCCGTTTAGGTGAACGTCCAAATAATTTGCCTTTTCCAATGGCACAATATAAGGTTGGACGTTGTGAGGACGATTTTCTGGTTTTGTCTAAATTGTCACAACTACGAGCTCCAATGCCCTCTGGGGGAAGTCCCTCGAAGATGTGCAGCCCATGTCCATGACCATCAATCAAAATACTCATGAGAAAAATAATACAAATCAGACAAACTAACATTTTAATAAAACATAACAAGGTTTATACAAATACTGGACAAAAAAGTACACAATAACATGTATAACAAATTAAAAAACCTGCAAGGGTAATATTTATGGGATGTGTAATTGACAATGGCGGGAACACACCAAGGATAAAAATATATATTTTTTTACAAAACAAAATCACAACTGTGCGCAGTCTAAAAAGTTCTTTATGAATGGAGGCAAGCTTGGTGCTAGGTAAATAAATTAACCAATTTTGTTAAATTGCTTAATGTGGTTTCAGGACAATTAGGGAATCCACTTTTAGAAGTTATTGTCACACAAAAAAAATATTTAAAAACTCATTTAATTTTGGGGGGAATTGGAAAGAGCATAAAAGGAAAGAGGAAAACACAGCAAAGAATATGATAAAAGTAAAACCCGTAGCATATAACTTAGTTTTCAAACACCCGGAATGAATTCAGCTGAACATGGACAAATAATTGTTAACACAGTAAGCTTTTCAGTGTTTTTAAAGAAATAATAGTAATATACACATTGTGATGAATTATTGGCTAACTTGGGATGGAAAATTACATTTTAAAATTACAAGGCATATTTTTGATTCAGAAGTGTGTGTTAAAAATCCTGTGGTTTCATGCACAGATATTTTTAACAGAATGGACCTGCATTCTCATACTTGATGCAAAGCTTACGGACAAAGTCTGAAACTTCATCACTAAGCCCAAGACGAGCAATGTCTCCTTCAAATTGGGCAACACCTCCACGCCCAACAACATAACCATTTAGACGAGCAGCCACATGAGACGTTTTCAACTTGGGTCCACACTTCATGCCAATGGCTTTCATCAGCCAATCATGTTGTTGAAGACGGTACTTTTGATGGTAGCTGAAGGAAAACACAAAGGATTACACAAATCTTCCATAGGGCATAGATTTTTCACATTTTCAGTATTATATTAAAATTTTGGAGCTTACTCTTCCGCATCCCAGAAGGTACCAGCAGGAATAATTTGAGTGACAATTGGAGAAGTATGTTTCCCTTCTTGCTCCTTTAGGGTTTGCTCAGCTAGCTTTTTTTGCTCGTCATCATGGTAGAATATAAGGGAGGTGTACTGCAACAAAGGAGGAAGAAGAATCAATGACAAAAGTGCTTTTGTATAGACCTCTATGCTCAACTTGGCAACGAGATTTCCTGTTCGATTTAGGTTAAAAATGTAATCTGTGCATCTTGTCACAAGAGAAAACCATCTCTCAATGACAAATTCATCAGGATGACTCATTTTTTTGACACTCTGTATCGGCTAAATATCATTTATTCCAAATACAAAATCCAGCACATGCTGTTGGTACGACGTGGGCAAAGAAGTCTAATATTAAAAAGTATATTCATTTATTTTGTAGCAGCAAACAGACCTGCTTTGTTGTGCGGGCAGTGGGGTCATGGTTTTTCCAAAATATATCCAGTAATTTGGCAAAGGTGACAGCAGACGGATCAAAATCAATGTCAATCGACTCAGTGTGATCACCTCTAAAAATTACATAGGAAAAGAAAACAACCACAGATTACACAAATTTTTCCATCATCGTACTTTCATTATATGGCCATGCATTGACTCATAGACAGACTTGGGTACTTACAGGCTGCGGTAGGTTGGGCCTTCTTTTGTACCACCTGCATATCCAACACGAGTCCGAATCACACCTGGAGTGGTACCAAACAATGCATCGGGTGCCCAGAAGCATGCCATGGCAAAAGTTGCCTTTTTAGTAGGTACATCCACATCATGAAGCAGCGACATGGCCTGCCCAAAGTAAAATTATAGACTGTTAATTTTAAACAATTTGTCAAAGAGACTTGAATGGTGTTAGTTCAGAATGTGAGGGAAAATGAGAAGTATATCAGATAAATTTATTGTATTCTTTCCAAAGAAAACACAAACTACCTGAATTGTAAAAATATAGCTTGTGAGAAATGGACATCAGAAGCTAACATAAACTTACATTGTCATATGATTTATTACGAGCTCCTATGTTTAAGCCAATACGAGATAAGCCATTGGCTAGTGCGTTAAAGAGACTCATGTTGCTCCTTAGTGATTAGTGGCTACGTCTTGCTGAGTTTGCAGTCTTGAGACTTACATAATCTTTTTTTTTCCAAAGAGTACAGACGGCTTTTACTACCTCACACAACTGAACTGGCTTTCTCAGCTTTCACCGCTCACGTAGTACACGCCCTTTAAGCAGTCAACAAACTTTACAAAGAACTACTCTACTCCCCCGCACCATATAGAAGAAATGTCACGTTTTATTGTTGAACTTCTAGTAAAAACTGTCAACTATACTTACTTTAAACGCTTGAACAAATCCGCAGAAGAATTGTTGAAGTAATTGGTTGCAATTTGCAATGTTGTGTGGTAATAAATCGTACTCTCCGTCAGGTTACTCGTCACAAACCCTCCCTTCTGCCTTTGCAACCTTTGTTGACAACCCAAAATTGTCATATTGAGATTCATGAGGCTAAGCCAATCCTCGATGAGGCTGGATGAGGCTAGCTAACTGTTGACAAGAGAAAAAAGGATCCCGTAGTGTCAGTCAGTGTTGTCACCAAATTTGTATCAACATTTCTGTGATTTTCTTCTGTACTCATTAGTTTTACAACATCTTCAAGTGATTTTTGACAACTCAAGGGACTATGTAATCGCATCATATATCATTTCTTCGGAGGCAAAGCATGCTTACTCTAGAATTTGTAGGAAAAATAACTTTTGGAAGGTTAGGGTACATGCTGAATTTTAACTTCTGAACGTGGAAAAGAACATTTAAAAAGTAATAAAAATAATTATTGTTAATTTATATTAAAAGCTCAACTTGAACTTGTAATTTTTTTATTTTTGAAAGTTTCTTTTTCTTTTTTTAAGGAAGGAACTCATTTGTTTGAATGACAAGACAGTACTCCGCACATTCAACATGGATATTACTGCATTATTTAAGGCTTGTGTTAAAACGGTGCGCGTACGTAACAAAGCCCTTGGAATTCCACCTGCGGATCAGGATAAGAATCGGATTTTAAATTCTACTCAAACGAGAAAAACGGTATTTGGAACTAAAGCCAAAGAAATAATTACTCAGGTAAATGTTTTAAAGGTATGATTCCAGTTTCATTACTTTGCCATATTACTTGCTTACCTTGTAAATATTGCTTTTCAACAGATATCCAAGTTACGAGATTTCTTGTTGGAACATCGAAGAGCATACTTAAGTTTGACCAGCTACTTATCTGATGGGCCACAGCTTTCAGATTCTGAAAGGGACAAAATTGATGCTGGGGCTCAAAGAATCATGAAAACGTGCTCAGCTTTGATTCATGACTTTAGAAGGCAAATTAGCAACTGTGAAATACCTAGCCAAGTAATGGTAAGTCCTAGAGTTTCAAATCTGTGTTGAATCACCTTTCTCTGTTGTCAATTTGTTATTTTCTTTGTTATCATACTAGGAACATCAACAGTCAGTAATTGATTTGCTAGAAGCATACTTAAAAAGTGTTTGTCAGATTTATTCAGAAATCCATATGACCCGAATGAAAAGAATGATGGACTCTCAGAAGATGTCCAGACTTGAGGGTGATGTTAACACATCGAGTTTAGTAAAAGATGGGATAGATCATCGGAGCAGAAAAATGTCAGACATCTCTTTGGGCAGTGGTACTAAAGAGGATTCTGTATCTGATAAGATGTCTGCTGATGAGGAGGATGGTATAGTTGAGAGAAAGCAAAATAATTCTGAGAATGCTGCAGCTTTAGCAGCAGCCCGTTCAGCAGCGCTTGCTGATTTAGCAGCTCCCTTTGCCATGGAAGATGATCAATTATCAGCAGAGGAACTCCAAATGTTTGAATCAGAAAATGCTCATCTTTACAATGAGCTTAATAGTCTTTCAGACGAGGTATTTCATCACCAAAAACATTGCACCTTGTATCAATATGTTGATACACGTCTCGTCAAAAGCTGAACATTTTAATTTTGTTTTGCAGGTTCGTCAAATTGAAAGGAAAGTTGTGAAAATTGCTGAACTGCAAGATGTTTTTACAGAGAAAGTTTTGCAGCAAGAAAGAGATGTTGAACGTATTTCTAGCATGGTTGTTGGGGCAACTGAAAATGTGAGAGATGCAAACACTCAAATCCGACAAGCAATTCAGCGCAATGCAGGTCTTCGTGTGTATGTTCTATTTTTCCTTCTTGTTATGTCATTCTCTTTACTCTTTCTTGATTGGTACAATGACTAGACCTATTTTCTTTTATTTGCATTTGTTGTATTTTGTGAGGGTACCGAGTGAGGGATAATTATACATACATTGAAATATTTTATGTTATCAGATTTAATCTATTCTTCTTTTTTAATTTTGTACATTTTTGCTATTTATAGTAAAGTGCGTAGGTCTGTTCTTAATTTGTTTTGAACAAATCTCGCAAATATTTTTTATTTAGTATCACAGTCAAATGTTTTGATGCCCCTGTGTTAGAACTTGTGAAGGCTTTCCCTCCTCATTTCAAAGCACTCCAAAGAATTGAGGAACATCTGTTAAATAACTATTGTATAGTGCTTAGCAACGGAATCGCCCATAGTGTTTTAAGGAATACACTGTATCTAAGCTGTGTAGAGCTGCTAAAAAGTATCCAAGCCACTGAAAGCAAAAAGCAAAACCAAAATTAAGACAACACTTGAAGAGGTACTCTTTGAGAAACTGTGATACACAATTAACCTCAGTTGCCTACATATGAAGTGACGATCGCAGGGTAGGTATAAGTTTCTAAATCATTTTTGTATGGTTCGAGATATAATGATGTTGCTACATGTAGGTACGAAGCTTGACTCGCGTACAGTCCCACAGCTGTAGCATGAAATGCAATCTCCTGTAAGGATAGAAATAAAATATTTTTGCCTGAATTTTATTTAACAGAACAGAAAAGCCATAATGTTGCTCATAGCAAATGATCAACATTAGCCCTTGCAGCTGTTTATCAATCCGACCCGAGCAGTCGGTGCACTTACGAAGAGGGACGCTCGCAACAGGGAGACGCTCTTGGCTGACAGCAGCGCGACCGCCAGGAGCAGGCTGCAGCCCAGCGCGCCGCCCGCACTGGCCAGGAAGAAGGCGGGCATGGCGCTGCCCAGCGTGCCGGACACCCTCAGCGCGTAGCGCCCCACCAGCCAGTTGCACATCCAGGAGAGCGCCTGTGGAAGGCCCATTTGTAGTGTCGATTAAGGGGGGAGGGGGTGAGCCGGAGGGGGCCCTTCTTACCAGTTGCGCCAGCCGCAGCGCACCGGGGAGGGTGCGCAGGTACTGCAGGTTGAGGCAGCAGCAGCAGCACCCGCAGCAGCAGCACGCCGACAGGCAGCCCCTGAGGAGGCCACCGCCGCAGCCGCCACCGCCGTCGCCACCCCCGCCGCGGCGCAGCTCGACGTCGGGCCACCGGAAGGCGCTCTCCCGGCGCGCCACGGCGGCGTCCCTGCGGCCAGCACCGCGACGCTGCCCGCGGCCCGCCTCGGCGTCGCGCCGCTCGCCCCACCGGACGATGTTGTCGAAGAAGTCGCGGCCCGGTGACCCGCGCTGCATGCTGAGGCGCACGCTCGTGCGCACGCCGCGCAGGGAGGCGAGCGAGGGCAGGCGCGGCCGGCGCAGGCGCGGCGGTCTGCGCGGCGGCACGTCTGCAAGCACGGCATCGGGGTGGGGTGATCAACCACCATCAACTCTGACAATCTGATGCTCACACCGAGGAGCTGGTTGTCAAGACCGAACACTGCTTCCTCAATTGCAGCCGTCGAATGTAGCCCATCGAACAGAGTTGATCATTGATCACCACAAGAAAGTCTTTCTCGGATATCGTGCCTGTTCCGACGCGATTGTCAAGAAAGTACGTCCGTCTTTCTCGGGTTCGTCGGACAGATTACGGGCGCTCGGCGCCTGCGATGCTCAAGGTAGGCCACTCCACAGTACACGCATGCACTGCAGGCATGCGTTTGCCTACCTACCCGATGCTATGAGAGCTTGCGCCGGCTAGCTAAGCTGAACTTCGAATTTTCATAACGGCGAGTGACGGACGTGTACTTTCTGGACGATCCATATAGTGCGGGTGCGGGTGGGCCTTAGGCCTCGCCCAGTACAATTTTTTTGGATGATACCGTTTGGACACCGTTTTTTTGGGCGTTAGCTGTTCAAAAGAGGGCCTGAAATCGACGGCCTTTCGACGGTCGATGACGTTTTGATGTCGCCCGAAAAGCCGTCGATTGCAGGCCTATTTTCTTATCGCCAATGACGTTGAAAACGATGTCGAAACAATATCGGTGAGAGAACTCCCAGAAATGTCTTCGCAGAGGGAAAAACTTACCTTTCGAGACCATGACAGCCGATATTGCAACTTCCCCGAAGGCGTGACCTGCGCGCGTCGTCTCCGTCGGGGTCCCGCGGCGCGTGCACGCGTGCTGCACTCGCGGCCCGGCCGGCGTCAACTCTTCGAGCACAGCGTCGTCGTCGGGGCCCGTGCCTCGCGGGCGGGGAGGGGGGAG